TGAAGTAAGAAAGGTAATCTATCTACTACATATATCTATCTATAGTAACAAAAGTTCGTCAACTATCGCTTGAAAAATTTTTAGCTCCTTCCTAACCTCATTTATACATCTTCAGATAGACACTACGGTATTCCTTGATGACAGCTTCATACTTCTTGGAGGGCCAACCTTTCTCTTATGGATTTATAGTGCTACCGCACTTGCCGTTATTTCATTTGCAATACTCGTGGTAATCATAAAACACACTTCAGTCATACTTCAAAACCGAGCAAGATTCAGCGAAATGTCTAGAAAAATGCATAAAAGCGCTATGTCTGGATTAGTCGTCCAGGTAAGCTGCTACAAAAAATACGAAAGAACTTGAGAAAGTTTATTTTGCAGATGAACCTCTCTGAGATAGATAGATAGATAGATAGATGGATAGATAGATTCCGTATCTATAATGCAGGATGTTTTTAGACCACGGCAATCACAATGACTGTTTGCGTTCCTGTGTTTATGATGTGCATATCCATTTATCTTGGACCGACTATAGTAACTTCTACTCAAGGTAACTATTTATGGTTGTTTATTTGATTTAATCGTTTCCTTTCCAATAAATTAGCTGGGAGCACTAAACAGCATCTTTGTCGTTGTACCCTATACCGCGTTGCCCATCAAACCAGACGCTATAATTGTTCCGCTGTCCGGTCCGCCTTGATCTTCCAGTCGTTTGAAATTAGTGGGGATACTATGCAGTACTCACGAATGTATTAGCACTGATTCTATGGAGTTGCTAGCATCTTGAAATACGACTAAAAACAAACTAACTCCAGCCTCTGTTCTCGTTTAATGGATTCAAACCTGCCGTAGACATCCGGTAAGTGTGAGTCAGAGAGGACCCCATAATGGATATTCGTCACAAGTTTTTGCGATCGATAACCAAAGGGCATCGAAGTTCCCTCTTCATCGGTCTAAATAGTAAGATATACATTTTTAGTGGCATTAGTTCTATAAATCTCTATGCTTCCAATTGTTGCACTTATTTCCAGTACTTGTGCGCTCTGCGAGGAGACATCCCGGGAGCGGGATTGATTATCACTTACTTTTATCATGATAACACTTTCAAAAGTTACCTTTGCGCGAAAATAAACCATACTTCCGTCAGAAGGCAGGCGTACTTTGTGCTGTATAAGAAACCAAAGAGGGCTGAAGAGTAAAAATAATTGATTGATATCTCGTCTTTTCAGCGGTCGTGTATACGGTTTTATTATTTTTTTAAATTTCTACAAGAATTCTCTTTTAAGCATATGTATGGATTGGTAGCGTGTTGTTCTCGATGAAATCATTCAATGGTACTGTAGCAATGATTGCTATGACAGCAAGCTACAGGTTATGTCTGTTTTGAGTTTATTGTTTATTCAAGTCAAGGTTATCGTTTCGGTCGATCCAAGCTGAATTTTTACTAGTTTAGCGGGAAAATTCATTTTTTGAAGATGCTAAAAGATCTTCCTCCATCAGTAATAAGGTTTTTGCCCTGCATATTAAAGGCACAGTTCAGGACAATTTTGGGGGTATCCGGTATTTTAGAGATAGTGGTAGGTAAGGCCTACACTAGGACAATGGTAAAGCATAAAAGGCTAAAAACAGTGAAAAAAAGGAAAACAAACGGCCGAAAAAAAAGAGGAAAAAGTGGTTGGACGAGATTCATAATGGGAAAACAGTGGTTAAGTGAATTCTCGCGGAAGTACATGAATGCGACGCCATGTGTGCAATGGCACACAAAGTACCCAAACAGCTGATTTAGACTAGATTCTTGAAACTATTTATTCCCCAACTGATATTTCGCTGAAGTTTTATGTTTATTCAGTTGTTCTGCGCAGAAAGGTGAGTAGATTCCCTTATATTTATAATTTTACGATTAAATGTACCTAAGTTTCCATATAGTACGTTGTTTTATAAAATGCATGCTAGGATTTCAATTTTTTTATTTGCAACGCATTTTCTTCATTTGGGGTCATTTATGTGTTCTTGTACAATGTCAAGAACACTCTTTGACTTTCATTTGAAGATTTATGCTCAGTTGAAGCCAATCAGTTGAAACGCAGCCGAATATTAGTACCAGAAGGAGGCGGTCGACCAGCTGACCATTCCTGGCAATTTGCCAATCAGCGTATCGATTTTCCACCAACTTCGCTCCAATGCGAAAGTGGTGAAGAAAATTTCGAACGCGTAGTCAGCCTAGCGAGGGGCGGAGCCTGACGTCCCCCAATGTTCCTGCCCTAATTGTGCCCTATTCTAACGATTTTCCTTCATTCCTGCACAAATGGTATCAGAGGGGGCTCCGAATTCAAACTATATGCAAATCTCCGGAACCACCTTTTCCTGACCTGTGCCTTTAAGAATATAAATCATGCTTGAATGACTTTGTTAGAATATGCCGAAGAGTAGACTGAAAGTAAGTTCTTCTAAATTTTTTTATTGTAGAAGAGATTACAAATATTCATCACAAACCGCTACAAAATAGTCTAGCAATTTATTATTTTGACATGAAACGTTCTCCCTGCTTTTTGCAAACCAGTCGTTACATGCATTTAAAAATATGAGCATGGCTGCACTATATTTCTGGTGTTGATTGGACTTCAGTCTGATTTGTTGTTGTTATAAAAAGGTATAATAGTTGAAAGTGATATGGGGGCAAAGTTTGAATAATCAGTATTTATGTACAAAATAAACAAACACAGTAAGATGTAATACTACAGATACAACGATCTAATCAGAAGCATTCCAGAGAGCACTTCATGAAGATCACGGGCCTCTACCGAATTTGGCCTAATATTGAGCCTACCGTACCAATCGGGAGAACAATGATGACGTCCTCTATTACGCCAGTTGTAGAACTGTAATTCATCTATGAGTATTTCTTGAACTCAAGTTTCTCATAAACAGAAATCTTCTTAAATTTTTCCTATGTACAGCACACAGCCCAGATTTCGAAGAATGTATACTTTCACATCTCGACATGAAAATCAGACAGGCAGAAGCAATATACGGCAGATGGGAATGTTGACTGAATCAGATTCTATAATCTGCCGATAAACATTTAACCGAACACCGAGTATAAATAATTGCGTTATGGGGTCAAAATAGGAAGAAGAAAATGGAGAGAAATGAAAGGAATAGTACCAGACAGGTATAGAAGGTGGGATGGGAACGCCAAGTAGCTGTTTTCGCTACGTTACGACCGTTTGGATCTCCGAATGACCGTTTTGGCGCAGATTTACCATAAGGTTAGAATAGAACTAGAGTCGCGCAAAAGAATCGCACACGCTGCTTCAGAATTGCATGTAAACAAAATATTAACACAACTGTCGAAATGAAACATCCACTGAGGAACTCTATATGTATGTTCCTTTACGATTCACAAAAACACTCATGGGTAGCTCATTTGAAGGGGACGGACCATTCCTGCGATTCAAACTGCGCGCGGCAAACTGCGCGGCGAAATTCGTGGCGATTTTTACGACTTTAGCGACTATTTCTGGGGCCCAAATTTGAAGTAGAGAAAGTTAGAAGTATCAGCTGACCCTACTAATCTACTCTACGTCAAGTTTGTGCCCCAACAGTAGGCGCCAGAGTCGTTCGAATGGCCACGGATTTCGCCGCGCAGATTGCCGTACGCACCCAGAATCGCACGAATCGTCCCACACACCTCACTTGTAGGCTAGCCTTAATTACACTAGCAGAAGTATGTTGGAAATGGAAACCGAATGTAAGGCGCATCCCTTAGACGGGATCGATACACGCCTAGTAATTTTATCCTTCATCATTTTTATGAGCTTAAACACGCACATCAATACCAGTTCATTCAAATTGGTCTTGTATCAAGTGTATAACAACAGTTTTGTTCAAATGAATTTGGTGCTCTCGATGAAAGTTCAGGTTAGCATAGCTTTGTGCAGGGGCAAGCGATGCTACACCACCACCATCGTACAATTGCGAGACTTTATTTAGGACAAAGAGAACAAAGCTTCTCATTCAATCAACCTAACAAGCGGTATCTTAGGAAGTGAAGTGCAGTTGTACAAAGTATCGATAAATTCTTCCGCAGTAATATTCGTAATACTTGAGACAGGGCGATAGATGAAGTAAATTGGTCGCATGATCTGGAACAGAGATGTTTCTGAGTGTGAGGTGTTTTTCATGAGGAAAACACATGTAAGCGCAGTAGCCATTATTTGCTTCGAAATGATAGGTACGCACTTTTGGAGAACGTGAAAGGATGACCGTGGGGAATAAGATGTCTGTTGTGTCAGATGCTTCGTCGTGCCGGTCCACTTGATATTTCACGACTAGATCACCATCATCCTGGAAGTACTTTATTTACCTGGCAAAGCCCTTCTGTTTTCGAAAAAAAAAAGGTGAAATGTTCTCGTGGTAACGTACGAATTTCTTCCTGAGCGATTTTCTGAGAAGCTTCTTATGATGTTCTTCATAACCTCCGAACAACTCGTATTCAAGTTCACCGGTGGTTATGCACCCCTCTGCATAATAGAAGGCCAAGCACAGCAGAGCGGTGAGAACGATGGGATTCATTTTTGGTGAGAGCCAGAGGGTTCATAATGATCCACTCATTCCTAAGCTTTTATACCCAAAATCGTTCTTTGTTTGTTTATAAGGACTATGTTAACGAAGCTGACCTACAGTAACAACTGGTAACTATGCAAGTTTATACCTTCCAAGTACATTCTTCTATATTTACTTTGAACTCTTCTATGCCTATGCCCTCATGAAAACTTTCATTTTGTGAGCTTTATTGCGGTGACAGTAAGGGAATTTTTTTTCCCAAACAGCATTCATTTTTAGCCTACATTCGCTGATGGTTACAGAATGCCAACTGTGTTAACGAAATGCTCACAACGTCAGAACCCTATTCAGTGCAGATGGCTATAAAATTGAGAAGTCAGCGGAACACTCAGCATACTTTACTCTCCTTCTGATTCCATCCATCAGCCCTCAATTTTTTTGTCATTTTGTTCTGCGTAGCATATTCAGTAACAAAGAAATGCCTACATACCCGCCAACTTAATTTTGAGAAGTTTGGCGTTTTCAATAAAACCCGCCATCTCTACCGGGATGTGTATCAGAAGCATGTACGTTACCGAGATCATTTTACTTGCTGTCTTGGGGCAGAAACTTGAACCCTTTGCAGGATAAAGACGACATCGTCATCGAATTCGAGATGCATTATACCAGCAACGGGTTCACACTAACATACTATCCCGCTGTCATACTTTCCCGTATGGTTAGTTTATAACATTAAAATGGCCATCAATATTAATATTCGTAACACTCGCTGTTCCAATGCTATCACTAACAGCTGCAAAACAAAAAATCTTTTTCAGAGGAAACCTGCAACTTATTTGTTGTATCCTGCTGACAAATCAGCACCTCCAGAGGTCTCTAGGAAAGAATTCATAGAATTTTTGTATAGTTGTCGATAGTTTGAAGAAGGCATAAAGTTTGTGATTCCATGCGATGTCAATGTATTGCAACAACAGGATATGTTAAGGGCAGGAATACTCCTCTGCATGGATCTATGACTTTAAAAGATAAAATTCAAAAAAGTTCGAGTTCCAAAGAGTGAAAGCAGCGTGCGTTCAACACATAGGAAGGAACGTTCATGGCGCAAAAGTGTCGGGTTATCGTAAAACAGAAAAACGGAAGAACTAAGAGTTCCGAAAACGGACATGTCATCCACTCTCCTGGTGCAGCTAAAGAAGATGAAGATACAAGTGAAAAAAAAAATGCTGAGATTCATTGATAGTCGAACTTAAGGCACTTATCGAGGCGCGTTGAGATCTATTCTGTTATTCTTACCAACTTGATGGATATCTGCTTTTGTGGGATCAAGAGCTTGCAGCAAAAAAGTGCATACAAGAAGCAACACGAGAAGTTTTTTTTTCCATCGCACATTGAAAACAATGAGAAATCTTGTAAGAAGATACTATACGTAGTAAGCGCAGAAAAGGCTAAGCAGAACGCCCCGCTTTGATTGTAATCAAGGTAGAGCAGCTCGCCGATACAAAATTGTTTTATAGCTTGAAGCTCACTGATGAAAAGCATCTAAATGCACTTGCCACTAAACCACTTCCACCTCGTCACCATTCTGGCTTCTGTCGAGGTCGAAAAATAAGATAAGAGATACATTAAGTGCACAAATTTATGGCTCAGAGCCTGCTCAAAAACTTTAAAATATAAAAAACTAAGAGAAATAAGGCACTGGAAAGCTGATGTATTACATTAGGTGTGTGCATTAATTTCCGCCGCCGAATTCCAAGGGCCGTTGCGCGAACCATGTTAGAGGTTTACTGGTGAAACCTGTCATATTCTGTAAGATAGGGTATTGGTGACCTACTTAAGGGCAGACAAATCAGTTTTTCCCCAAAATCCCGTTGCTCTCGGACTGATTATTCATGGAACGTGATGAACCAATTCCCCGTGGGACTCTTCTCCTGCTGTTTGATTTCAAGAAAATTGGAGCGGAGCCCACTAGATGTTGATACTTATGGAGAACAAACTATCTGAACGAACCTGCTTAGATGGTTTCTCTTCACTCGAGAGTTTGCAACAAAAGTGGAATGTCCATTGCCAAAAAGTAATGCTGTGCGTGCATTTGGTGGTGGGACCAGAAGGGTGTTGTGTACTGAGAGCTGCTGAACCCGGACGGAACTGTTACTGCTGACCGCTACGAACACCAACTTGACAGTTTGTAGGATGCTCTCACCTAAAAGCGGCCGTTATTCGCAGGAAAATATCATGAGGTGCTGTTCCACCATGAACATGCCAGACCCCATGTTGCGAAGAATGTCCTTTAAAAAATTGTAGTTGTTGGATGGGACCAGCTTGTTCAGCCCGCATACTCTCCGGGTCTTGCTCTTTCTGATTACCACCTAATCCGGTCCATGCAAGTCAGTTTTTCAGATACACGCTTCGGAATGCCGAAGAAGTGCGAAAACATGTGGATGACTGGACTACCTCGAAAGATGAGGACGCGAAGCCAACAAGATACCAGAAAGATGGCAAGAAGTTGTAGCTAACGATGGGCAATGCAATGGTTAACGTAAATTTGGTTCCAATTTTGTAATATATATGTTTTTGGCGGAAATTAATGCACACACCTAATATTTGTTGAGTGTTTACTAGCATAGGGAAAAATGTTCGCTCCATAAAATCAATGGTGCGATCGAGCCTACAGTACAAGGAACTAGACTTATTGGTCGGAATGGCCGTCACAAAAATCTCAATCCAGAATGGGCTCACGGACGTTTCGAGAAAAAAATTCGCTCTTTTTGCTTGTGGTGAGAAAGATTCCCAGGAATGTCTGTGTCAAAGTTCAAATGCTACGCAGCTAAATCACCTCGTGACAGTACTTTGAAAATTTCTGGAATGCGGAAAAACGAAATTCGGGCAGGTAAAAGTCAAATACAAAGTACCCTTTTTGGCAGGAACGTATTGCACATCGCTAGACTGTAGTCTGTTGCACCTGCCCGTCGGACTAATAAATCTCTTCCCTCTCATTCTTCATTAACGATTTGCCCACCTATCAATTCCTTGAGGTACCTACTTGCGACCACGATTTAATCGAAGATTCTGTGAAGGTTAGACACAATTTCCAAGAAGTTCGTCCTTCCTATAAGCTGCTGGGTGCTTTGATAGAATTTGTTGTTCTATTCTTTGCAAATCAACATAACCTCATGTTTGTATTTCTGTACACCTTATGTCTATTTTTTAAATTTTTTTCGTACAGGATTCCAATGCGAATGGACATCTAGGGTCAGATTGTTTACTCCTCAACAGTCCTCTGTAAAAGGGAATAAAGCATTAACTAACTGCACAGTAATCGATTGGTCAGACGTACATAGCTCATGATGCACTTATGTTTTATGTATCGACGCTGATATTAGGCTGGAGTAAAGGAGAGAGAAGCGAGACGGGGAAATCCGATGGAGCGACCGGGATCGACTGTGCGCCCGTTTTCGGAATTCTTCAATTATCCGTTTTTCCTATTGTTGATAACACGACACTCACAAATTCTTCATAAGCGAGGTGCATGCACGCTGCATTAACTCCATAGAACTCATATTTTCTTTTGATTCCAACCTCCAATATCATGGATCTTGGGTCCATGCAGACGTGTTTCTTTCCGACCCTGACACATCACAATTGTTGCAGTATATTGGGAGTACATATGTAGAATCACAAAATTTATGTCTTCTTCGACTACTAACCTTCGTGCAAAAAAGCGATGAATTGTCCCGCGGAGAGCCCTAAAATTGTCGTCCTTGAAGCATTATATATCAAATGAGTTGAAGATTTCTTCTGAAAAAGTTCCTACTGAGCTGTTTTTAGTAATGACACTTAAACAGAAAATATTATGAATAATGACAACGATGGCCTTCCTAGTGTCCCAGACGAACTTTTCGGGAAACGATGATAGGAGAAGGGTATGTCATGTTTTCGCATCCACGTTGTTGGGAAAATACATATCGAACTCGAGGACGAGACCGTCTATATCCTGCAAAAGGTTTTAGCCTCCCGCCAAGGCCACACCACTGTTTTTCAAAAAAAAAAAAAAAAAGAAAATGCAAAATGTTTGCCCGCAACGTGCGTACTTTTTCTGGTGCACCTCGAGAGCTATAGGGAAGGATTTCTTCAATTCGCCAAAATTTTTGTAAACAATTTGGCGATTATGTGCACACTTCTCCGTTACTTAATATGTCACACAGAACCCAACGATCGAAGCGATCGGATTCATCTTTAAGGGCTGATGAAGGGAATTAGCCAAATAGGAGGATATATTGAACATTCCGCTAACTTCTAAGCTTTATACTCATCTGTATTAGGAAGTGTTTTGGCATTGGGAACATCTCATACACAGAGCTGGCAGCTGGCAACGATCATGAACTGTAGGCCTGTAGTAACCGTAGGCAGTCAATCACTCGCAAACGGACTAAACACTGCTCAAGTGGTGCTGTTAGGCTTGTCAAGCCTAGTCATGAAATTGAAGGAGAACACATGTACATTACTAAAGGATACTGAGTCAAGAACGCCTTGGTTCTCGAAGGCTTGCACTGACGCCTCTGTCTCGACAGCATCAAAGGCCTTAAAATCAAATTGACGGTACAACTATGCATAAATAAATAAAGATACACCCGATAGGGCAAAGATGGTGATGCTGCTTGTGGCGCAGTATATCACACATGTATAATCCGAGAATGGAATCCCTGATCGAAACTTGCCCAGACAAATCAATTAATTCTGGACTCATCTGGGATTATGAGTACGCCGGCTTGTACACCAGCTGTACGATACAAGCCATTTTTCAGGCCAGGTATACTTTCAAAATTCTACCACGATTCTGAATAGAAGTCAAGTGGGTGTGGGTGCAGGAAGGGGGNGGGGGCGTATCTCTCAAATGAGATTGATACACGGAAGAAGTTTTTATCGTTTACATATAAGGTTTTTGAGTGATTAGATTAGTCTTCCTAAATTATTCGACCAGTGCCTTTTTCCATAGCATAGGCTCAACCGTACATCTACCAAATTTACAGAATGGCAGCTGTGGTAATACTAGGCTCGCAACGACAGAGTCCTTCCCACCAAAGACGGCTATAAAGGCTTGAGAACTTCCGAATATTGTAACTCACATCCTGCAAATTATCTTTATCGACACTCGAGGATGAATCCGATCGCTGTGGTCGTCACGTTCTGTATTTTATTCTCACTAGCGGAGAAATGTCCACCTGACCTTCATTATGACTATAAAAAGTACGCAGATTTTGAAAAATCCGACAAAAAGGTTATTAAGCAACACCTCGGCAAGAATTTTGTACGTTTACGATTATTTCGCTTCTATCTATCATTGAAGTTTTCATTAGAAAAATTACCACTTTGCAGACCAAAGGTGATCTATTCCTCCAATTTCAAGTGGATCTAGACCCCGATTGGATACGGACCAAAATTTCTAGGCCTACTGTCGTTTTTCCCAGAGACGCGGTAAGTAACTCTACTTAAGAACTGCTTTCAGTGATGGTATTCGTACTACTTATTAATGCCGTTGCTCGGATGCATAGTTCACGATAATTTTAAAGTATCTAACTTAAAAAAAATAATCGAACCTATGGCGCAGAATAATGCAAAGATATCGGAGATAATTTGAGAATCGGCGCATTTTAAGAAGTATGAAGTTCCAAAAAAGTAGTAAAATCACGAGTTGGACGAAAATGTGTATCTGTAACCGTATGGATGTCTCTTACGTGTGTGATCGTTTCGTCGGCAGCTTAGAGCTTCATTGTGATTTATGCAGTCTTAGTGAGACCGGCATAACCCGGCCACTTTTGGGTGTGCACGTCGATAATGCCGATGTGCTATTCTTGGAGGCCACAGGTTCGTCCCAAGGGACGTCTTGTGGTTCATTTTTATCGTGAACATTGCCTTCAATGAAATCTCTATTTCAGGACAAGAAGCCCTTCTTCTATATATATTATCCCTGGAAATCAGGCACCAGTGAGCAATTTGACCTAATGTCTGCGGCAGAATTCATCGACTTTTTATACCAGTGTTAACGATTCAGAAAATCTTGAACAAGGCAGATTTCATAAAATTTGTGGTTATGAGTTGTGACAATCGCAAGTACATGTGTAAGAAAACAAGAAACACATAACTTCCTTTGATTCAGCTCCCATGAAGTTAAAGGTGAGATTCAAGTAAAATATGATCATCATAGTGAAACTAGTCAAGAAGAGAAGGTTACCGAGTCTCCAAAAACGGTCCTTGCATTTAAATCATACTGTATTCCGTAAAATAACAATTGTCTTGCAGCCTTTGTCACTCGGGTTGAGTTCACTGTTTGATGCGAATCTTCCCTACTGAAACTGCTCCACTCAAAATCCAAAAAAAAAAACAATTCAGAGCTCGTTA